TGAATGTATATGTGCGTGTTTGTGTGTGTGATGTGTATATATGTGAGGTGTATGTGCATGTATTGCATGTTTGTGTGTGCATATGTATATATGTGTGTGTGTGAATGTATGTGTGTGCATTTATGGTGTATGTGTGTGCATTTATGGTGTGTGTGATGTGTATGTATATGTGAGGTGTATGTGTTTATGTGTTGTTTGAATGTGCATTGTATGTGTGGTGTGAATGTGTGTGCATGTTATGGTATGCATGTATGTATGTGCGTGTGTATTGCATGTTTGTGTGTGCACATGTATGCATATGTGTGCGTGTGAATGTGTGTGCGTGTTTATGGTGTGATGTGTATGTGTATGTGCGGTGTATGTGTGTGTGTATTGCATGTGCATGTGTACGTGTGTATACGTATGTGTGCAGGTGTGAATGTGTGTGCGTGTTTATGGTGTGTGTGATGTGTATGTGTATGTGCGTGTATGTGTGTGTGTATTGCACGTGCATGTGTACGTGTGTATACGTATGTGTGCAGGTGTGAATGTGTGTGCGTGTTTATGGTGTGTGTGATGTGTATGTGTATGTGCGGTGTATGTGTGTGTGTATTGCACGTGCATGTGTACGTGTGTATACGTATGTGTGCATGTGTGAATGTGTGTGCGTGTTTATGGTGTGTGTGATGTGTATGTGTATGTGCGGTGTGTGTGTGTGTGTATTGCATGTGCATGTGTACGTGTGTATATGTATGTGTGCAGGTGTGCGTACCTGTGTTCTGAAGAGACTGAGAAAGAATAAACAGGAGAGGCTCCCCGCAGGGGTGACTGGTCCTTTAAAGAACCCCCCAAACTCTCCTTTCCTTTGCCTCCTGGGCTCGCTGTGCAGCCTCCTTAATGAATGCCTGTAGAATGCATTCAGAGGCTGGAAGGAGAAGCAGCAGCTTTATAAACAAACACAGACTTCTAAAGGGTGACTAATCCCTGAGTCCCTGAGGGAGAGGAGAGAGCTGTGCTGGGTTGGAGGAAGGGGCACCTTGAGGGAAGGAGGCAGCTGCGGGGGTTCACTGAGGTTTTGGTCCCGGCCCCCATTAGCAAGTTGCTTCTCCAGGGGCAGGCCCCGGCTCCTTTCTGGGCTTGTCTCCAGCAGCCAAAAGAAAGGCTTGGATTATGGCCTCACAAGATCCTTTCTCTTGCTCCCATTTTATACAGTGCCTGTTGTGGCCAAGGTCACGGCGTTGCCCCGGCTGAGCACAAAAGGGCACTCAAGAGAGGCAGGCAGGGGCCACGTGGCCGCCCCTCCCATGCAGACAGCCTTGCTGGCTGGAGCCACCCATGGAGTGACCTGTTTGCGGAGGTCCAGCACAGAGCTCTCTAAGAGGCTCAGCAAAGGCCAGCAACAGAGCAGGAGGCTCCCGTCCATGGCAAAGCCAAACCGGGGCTGCAGGGTCATTCCACACACTGCAGAGCACCCCGACCTGGGGGATAGAGCGGGTCTCCAGGAGACGTGGAGGCAGAGAAAGTGGTGGCCGCCTTGCACTCAGTCCTCTGACAGTGACTTCCCCTGAACATACATCTTAACCAGAAGGAAGGACCTGAAAGGAGAAAGGGGGCTGGATGCTGAGACAGGAAGAAACTCCATCTGGTAGAGACTCTTCATCTGACAGGGGAACCTGCCCTGTGTTTGCATGGCCTGGCTTTAGTACCCAGGGCGAAGTAGTGACAGAGCCGGCCCACTCAGCCTCCTGACTTGAAGGGAGCTGTTGCCTGCCGTCGGACTCTTTTAGGCTTATCGAAGGGACCCCTGGGCTGTAAGTTTGGCAGGGCCTACCTGGTGATAGGCATGGGGATCACTTGTCTGCATTTGCCCAGGACAGCCTATGTATGTTTCTGCCTATTGTCTGTGTGACGAGTGACAGTTCACACCCAGAAGTGTCCTATTTTGGATGATCAATTATGTGGTCACCCCACTGATGGACAACTGGGTGACACTAAAGAAAGAGGACTTGAACCTCCAGAATCTTTGACTTTTAGAACTTTATGGACATCTGTTTTCTGCAAAATCCCTCCAAAACGTTCTGCAGCCTTCTGCTGACGTCATCAACAAGAAAGTATTCCTCATCTGCCCACGTTAGAGTGGGGTGTGATGGGGGAAGTGAGTGACCCCGGTATCTGAGTTAGAGGAGGTTCCCTGAGACCCCAAAGCCAGGGTGGCCCGTACCGGACTAACATTTCCTAAGTGCTCACCCACAGGCACCCACAGCACCACCCAGCTCACAGGCATGCTGAGTTTAAACTGCATGGAGCCCCTCACGTGTCAGGCATTATGTTTTATTATTGGCATTATCAACTTCCTTATCTCATGAAGAGAGGAACAGACTCTTGAGGGGGAGACGGTCACATCCTGCTCTGTGAGTGGCCACGCAGGAGCTAGAGCCCGGGTCCCTGGGCCCTGCCTCCCCTCCACAGGACACTGCCTCTGTGCGCCAGGTCACAGTCAGACCGAGCAGGGCGCCCTGCTGGCAGCCAGGCCCGGGCAATGGGGAGCAGAGGGCAGAATCCCTCGTGAAGTCTCTGCTCCCTGGACGGGCTGGATGGTGCTTTGCCAGCCACATCTCCTGCCAATCTCTGTCTTTTAAGTTCCAGAACACTGAGTGGCTTGTATTCTCCCCGCTTCCCACCCAATCACACACACACGCACACGCGCGCAAGCACACGTATACACAGGCACTATTGCTGCTTCTTGCCTTCCTGTCTTGGCTCATGCCATCTCTTTTGCCTTAAACTCCTGCTGCCCCCTTATTTTGTCAGCTCCTACCTACCCTTTGGGAACCGGCAGAGGCATCACCTCTTCCTGGAAGCCTTCCCTGGCCTCTTATTTGCACGTAAGTGATGGCCCTCACCATGTCACCGACGGTAAGTCTCTTTCCCACTGGTCTGTGAGATCCTCAGGGCCTGGGCTGGGTCTTACTCATCTCTGTGTCTCCAGCATGGCATCTGATGGGTGGAGGCCATTCACACACAGGCTGGGTGCTCCACTGCCAGGCAGAGCCCCTTGTCCTTTCAGGACCCGTTATCTCAAGATTTCCTATATCAAGCCACAGTTTCCCAGCCTCTGTGCATGCTGGGAAACCTCTATCTACACAGGAGGGAATAAAACCTAAGGAACTTGTGACCCTGGAGAAGTGCCATGGGCAGAAAATATAACAACATCAAAAATAATTTTGGACAGACTTATGATGGAGCCAAAGGTGGCGATAAGAAAGGCTGGGACACACCTGACCCGTGAGGCTGATGGGGGAAGGGCCAGCTCTGCCTGGCACATCCCACAGGGCTGCCATCCAGCGTAGAAAACGCCAGCGTGGCGCACACGTGGCTCTGGCCCAAAGCAACCATTGCAGGGTTCCTCCGATTAACACCACAGAAAATCCTTTCCCCTTGATACTCATCTGGGCGGAGAAAGAGACAGGAGGTGGTGGGACTAGAACCCAGAGCTTCCTGAGTGCAGTATTCTCTACACTACATCACATAGGAGGAGGGACTCCTGACAGCCTAGATCTGGGGACTGCCGCCTTGGTCTTCTGAGCCCCTTCAATTGTGTAGGTACCCGGTGTGCCTGACAGGCGGAGGAAGGAGCTGGGGCATTCACAGGACTGTGTGTGTGCACGGCTGGGTGGGCTGCAGCTCCCATCCTGGGCCAGGAGAACGTCACCTTGGAGACAAGGCCCTGCTTGTCCCCCAGCATCTCTAATGCTGAGAACTCCCACCTGTCCCTTGCGTGTCTGTTTCAGTGTCTGCCGACCTCAGCAGGATGCTTTACCTTGGCTTCTCCCTAGATATTTGGCGCCTTTCATCTTGGCCCTCAGACTTTTAGGGAAATTCTTAGACTTTGGCTTATGACTGTCTGGTCTCCCACCCTTTCTCTTGCCTACTTAGTACATTTTTATCTCCTTCCTGCCGTGCCCTTAGTTAACTTGTCCGAGGCTTGGATTTCTTTCTTCTGCCTCCTTCAGAAGCCTGGGCTGCACAGCTTGGGCTGCTAGCTGGCGTGGGGCCACGCGCCTGTCTGTACTGCCCAGCCGCCGGGAGTGCCAGTCACCCAGTGCTCTGCTCTCCTCCCCCCCAACAGTCTGCACACGCAGTTTTTATTTGTGTACTTTTCTCAAGGCTCTAAGCTGTTGGCAGGCATTACTCATGACTCAATTTAGTGAACATCTATCTAGATACCCAAGGTTGAGTTAAATATACCGAGTATTTGTAACCACCTCCCTCACTCCTCTAATTGTAAGAGGGAGTGGGGTGCAGAGCAGCTGAGATCTGAAAACCAAGTGTTCGGCAAAATGCAGGGCAGGCTCCCCAACGTGCGTGGCCACGCACCTTTCCACCACGAAGCGCCGCCTCAGCCTGTGCACTGCAAACGACGCATTTCACCTCGAAGACGACTCCATGTTCCAAAGCCTGCGAGGCAGGCCGATTTCTTGGAGAAGGGAGGAGGCGGCACATGTCTGAATAGAGCAGGCCCTGTTAGAAAACAGAAGGCTTCTTCACTGCTAATAGGAGCGAGTGGCCAATCTGTCCACATTAATCCGGAGACATGGTTCCTAAAACTGCACCCAACACTCCACCCCTCCCCGCCCCACCTGCATCTACACTGACAAATGGAAACCGAGCCAAGCCTGGTGCTCAGAGCACTCGTTTCTAATGTGCCCCTCCCATCCTTGGCACCACATACTCCAGGGAAACAGGCCTTAACAAGTGTGGACTGTTGGTTTCTCTTTATACCCCAGAGAACCAAAGAAGGCTGTTACTCAACAGTTGAGATTTCTTGAGGTGGAAACGCACTTTCCTCTCAGATTTTCACCCTTCTCATTCAAGAGGAAGAAAGCAGGTCTTTCTGTCCTTTCTGGGTCTGAAAAGGGCAGGCAGGCTGATGGTGTCTGCGGGAAGAACAAACTTACCCAATGCAACAGATCTGTGATTTCCAGGGCAGTCCTTCAGCATACTATATATATATATATATATTTTTTTTTTGGTTTTGTTTTTGTTTGTTGGCCCAGGGTTGACCCCTTAAAAGGGCTGGAAGCAGCCAGTACCTTAAGGGGGCTCTGTGTATCAGCAGGGCTGGGTATGCACACCAGACAGTTCTAGAAGACGCTAACGAAGGTTTCTCTCACTCTGCAGTTACCACTATGCCTGGCCTTCTGAAGGGGGAGACCGAGCAGAGTGCTTCTTCTCAGAAGATCCAGGAAGTACGAATCCTGTCAAACAGCACTGCCTTCTCCCACCCTGCAATTAAGGTGGTGCTTTACCCATACGGCAGGGGCAAGAACAATACCGACATGGTACATTACAAGTAACTGTACCTGCTGGGTATGTGGACCTCTGAAAGAGCTGTGGCATTTCCTTCATAAGGAAGGGAGAAGTGTTACTGTTTTCATTCCAGTGATAAGGAAATGAAGGGGAGAAGACGGTAAAGCAAGGCGACCACAGATCCCTAAGTGCCAATGCCAGACTGAACACACAGGTCCTGGTAGACGGCAAACGAAGGCCAGACCAGCAGCTGCGGGCCTCTCCCGACAACTGGAGCATGGCCCCCGACACCGCAGCCATGGCACAGAGGAGCCGTTTGATTAAATGCTGCTCCCATTTAATCCTCATATGGACCTTGTGAGGGTCTTTCATTTTCTAAGTGAGAAAACCACGTCCCAGAGATGTGCTTGTTCAGGAACTGAAGGCGGGTCTGTGTGACTCCACAGCTGGGTGCTCTGTCTCCACACCAGACAGCTCCGGCTTCTGGAACTTCCGCCAGGTTGAAGCCCACTGCACTGGATAAGGCTGCCTCTATGAACAGAAATCTCAGGGCTCCACCTGAGATTCAATTAGCTGAAAACTGCTGCCTGGGAACCAGTGGCACCTAAGGAGTGGCATCCATGATGTTCTCAGAATTTGGGCTGAGTGGAAAGAAGAAAAGCCTATTTATTTATGAAATCTAACTTTGGGTGCCTTAGATAACCCTTTTTGATCTGTTTCTTGGACTCACTAGAGAAAGTCCTTTTGTACAAAGACACTCTCATCTGCTCTGCTGTGTAGAAGAAATAAGCACTCCATCACCAACTGCCCTTTAAAGGCTGCCTTCGTCTTTGGTCTAAATGAATTGGGCCTGTCCCTTTTGAAATGATTTATTCCAGTAAAGGATGGAGAATTTGTTATTTTTCAAAACAGATGACTGTGGTGTTGACCTAGAAAGGCCCGACTGAAGCCTGCAGGGTAGGTCTGACCGTGCTGGGCTTGGGTTTGTTCCTCTGTTGCATCAGAACACGGGCACCTTTTCACATCAGGTACTGCAACTGATATTCCTTTCTGTGCTGTTTACTCAATTCTGAAGCAAAAGAAGAAATATTTCATGAAATTAATCATTTGCTACTGCAAATATGTTAGGAACATTAAGTATGGAATTCATCTCTCCTTAGCTAGTGAGGCAACTCTAAACATGTCATTAAGATCAAAGATATATTTTTAAGGTTGCCAGCAGTTAAGCAGATCATTGATTTTGTCCCATTTTTGTACATGTGTTGCTGAAGCAAGCACTATTATCATTGGCTTTGGAATAACAGATCCAAGTGTGTCTCTGTCCTTGCCCTGTTCTCCTTATAAGACTATTGAGATACCATATATGCAATTATTAATTTCAAGTGTTTTGTGAAAACTTTGCATGGTTTATCACTATGTTAGATGTTGTAGGTGATACGAAAGAAACAGAAGAAGTCAGCGCTTCCTAAATGTTGGAGGATAACACAGTAGACTCCTCGCCAAGGTCCGGCATATGACAAGGGTTCAGTAATAGTCAATCCCTTTTCCACCCACCCTTTCTCTTCACAAGAAAAAGCACCTTCCTGCGGAAGAGTAGGGGAGGTGGTGTTCTAACAATGCTTTCACTTGATGGCATGGCTGAACAAAGGTCTAGTGCTTCAAGTCCAAGCCTAGGTCTCAGAAACTGTAGGGAAACCTGTTTTCCTCATGCTTCCATGTTATGAACTATAAAATGAGAATAACAATTACTGCCTACTGTGCAGTAATCTAAGATCTTTTTATTATCCGAGAATAAGAAGGGCTATAGAAACGCAAAGCTTTATTTATTATGAATACTCAGCAGGGACTGATTCCCATACATACTCTTAACAACTTGGCAGGGGCTCGTCCGACTCCTTCCAAGATTAAGCTCCTCATCTCTGTGAACATAAAACTCGATCTTCTACACAGCTTGCAGATCATGACGCCCTGAACATCACAGTCACAATCTCCTGTGCCCTCCCCCTCAGCATGTTCTGCGAAGGGTGATATACTATCCATTCGGAAGCTTAGGCGGGCACATCCTGCTGCTTGGGTCCAAAAGAAATACCATGGGCTGGGATGGATGAAGTGTTGCTGGAAATCTGGGCCATTTGTCAACTCCTAGAACATCTATCCTCTAGAAACCAGCTATAAATACCTTTAGAAATAACTTCCTTCAAAGGATTGGGTAAAACATGCCAACTGGGTTTTTACAAATGAAAGGTTTACTTTGGTAAAAGAAAACTGTCATTACTTCCAAAGGCTCATTAAAACCTTTGTAGGCGAACTTGTGGGACGACACTGCCACCTGGTGGTCGGCGTGCACTGTGCACACTGAACTCCCTAATGGAAATTACACACTGCTCAAAGAACAGCCCTTCCCACGGAGACACCAATTCTTCTAAAGTGGCCCCACACATGTAAGGAGACATACTTTAAGCTTGGCATTTACTTGAGTGACCTGAGCAAAGAATTTTCCTACCCACTCAATTCTTGGTACCAGGTGTACTGAAGGACATGATTTCTAAAAGCAAAACAAAACAAAACACTTGAAAGGCAGGCCCGGTGGTGACAAAATCTCTCAGCATTTGCTTGTCTGTAAAGGATTTTATTTCTCCTTCGCTTATGAGGCTTAGTTTGGCTGGATATGAAATTCTGGGTTGAAAATTCTATTCTTTTTTTTTTTCTTTTTTAAGACAGAGTCTTGCTCTGCCGCCCAGGCTGGAGTGCAGTGGTGCGATCTCCGCTCACTGCAAGCTCCGCCTCCCGGGTTTACGCCATTCTCCTGCCTCAGCCTCCCGAGTAGCTGGGACTATAGGTACCCGCCACCACGCCTGGCTAATTTTTTGTATTTTTAGTACAGACGGGGTTTCACCGTGTTAGCCAGGATGGTCTTGATCTGACTTTGTGATCCCCCCGTCTTGGCCTCCCAAAGTGCTGGGATTACAGGCGTGAGTCACCACGCCTGGCCCCTGAAAATTCTATTCTTTAAGAATGTTGAATATTGGCCCCGACTCTCTTCTGGCTTGTAGGGTTTCTCCAGAGATATCCACTGTTAGTCTGATGGGCTTCCCTTTGTGGGTAACTTGACCTTTCTCTCTGGCTGCCCTTAACATTTTTTCCTTCATTTCAACATAGGTGAATCTGACAATCATGTGTCTTGGGGTTGCTCTTCTTGAGGAGTATCTTTGTGGTGTTCTCTGTATTTCCTGAATTTGAATGTTGGCCTGCCTTGCTAGGTTGGGGAAGTTCTCCTGGATAATATCCTGGAGAGTGTTTTCCAACTTGGTTCCATTTTCCCTGTCACTTTCAGGTACACCAATCAAACATAGGTTTGGTCTTTTCAAGTAGTCCCATATTTCTTGGAGGCTTTGTTCGTTCCTTTTCATTTTTTTTCTCAAATCTTGTCTTCATGCTTTATTTCATTAAGTTGATCTTCAATCTCTGATATCCTTTCTTCTGCTTGATCAATTCAGCTGTTGATACTTGTGTACGCTTCACGAAGTTCTCGTGCTGTGTTTTTCAGCTCCATCGTGTCATTTATGTTCTTCTCTAAACTGGTTATTCTAGTTAGCAATTCCTCTAACCTTTTTTCAAGGTTCCTAGCTTCCTTGCGCTGGGTTAGAACATGCTCCTTTAGCTCGGAAGAGTTTACTACCCACCTTCTGAAGCCTACTTCTGTCAATTCATTCTCCATCCAGTTTTGTTCCCTTGCTGGTGAGGAGTTGTGATCCTTTGGAGAAGAAGAGGTATTCTGGTTTTTGGAATTTTTAGCCTTTTTGCGTTGTTTTTTCCTCATCTTCGTGGATTTATCTTTGATGTTGGTGACCTTCGGATGGGGTTTTTGTGTGGACGTCTTTTTTGTTAATGATGGTATTCCTTTCTGTTTGTTAGTTTTCCTTCTAACAGGCCTCTCTGCACTAAATATGGAAAGGAAAAACTGGTACCAGCCACTGCAAAAAACATCAAATTGTAAAGACCACTGACATTATGAAGAAACTGCATCAACTAATGGGCAAAATAACCAGCTAGCATCATAATGACAGGATCAAGTCCACCCATAACAGTATTAACCTTAAATGTAAATGGGCTAAATGACTCGATTAGAAGACACAGACTGGCAAATTGGATAACGAGTCAAGACCCATCGGTGTGCTGTATTCAGGATACCCATCTCACGTGCAAAGACACACATAGGCTCAAAATAAAGGGATGGAGGACTATTTACCAAGCAAATGGAAAGCAAAAAAAAAAAAAAAAAAAAAAAAGCAGAGGTTACAATCCTAGTATCTGATAAAACAGACTTTAAACCAACAAAGATCAGAAAAGACAAAGGCATTACATAATGGTAAAGGGAACAATGCAACAAGAAGAGTTAACTATCCTAAATATATATGCACCCAACACAGGAGCACCCAGATTCATAAAGCAAGTTCCTAGAAACCTACAAAGAGACTTAAACTCCTACATAATAACAGAGGGAGACTTTAACACCCCACTGTCAATATTACACAGATCAATGAGACAGAAAATTAACAAGGATATTCAGGACCTGAACTCAGCTCTGGACCAATGAACCTAATATGCATCTACAGAACTCTCCACCCCAAATCAAAAGAATATACATTCTTCTTAGCACCACATCGCACTTATTCTAAAATTGACCACATAATTGGGAGTAAAACACTCCCCAGCAAATGTAAAAGAAAGGAAATCATAACAAACAGTCTCTCAGATCACAGTGCAATCAAATTAGAGCTCGGGATTAAGAAACTCACTCAAAACTGCACAACTACATGGAAACTGAACAACCTGCTCCTGAATGACTACTGGGTAAATAACAAAATTGAGGCAGAAATAAATAAGTTCTTTGAAACCAGTGAAAACAAAGACATAACGCACCGGCTAAAGCAGTGTTTAGAAGGAAATTTATAGCACTAAATGCCCATAGGAGAAAGCGGGAATGATCTAAAATCGACACCCTAACATCACAATTAAAAGAACTAGAGAAACAAGAGCAAACAAATTCTAAAGCTAGCAGAAGACAAGAAATAACTAGAATCAGAACAGAACTGAAGGAGATAGAAACATAAAAAAACCTTAAAAAAAAATCAATGAATCCATGAGCTGGTTTTTTGAAAACATTAACAAAATAGATAGACTGCTAGCCAGACTAGTAAAGAAGAAAAGAGAGAAGAATCAAATAGACATAATAAAAAATGATAAAGGGGAGATCACCACTGATCCCACAGAAATACAAACTACCATCAGAGAAGACTATAAATACCTCTATGCAAATAAACTAGATAATCTAGAAGAAATGGATAAACTCCTGGACACACATACCCTCCCAAGACTAAACCAGGAAGAAGTTGAATCCCTAAATAGACCAATAACAAGCTCTGAAATTGAGGCAGTAATTAACAGCCTATCAACCAAAAAAAGCCCAGGACCAGATGGATTCACAGCCTAATTCTACCAGAGGTACAAAGAGGAGTTGGTACCATTCCTTCTGAAACTATTCCAAACAACAGAAAAAGAGGGACTCCTCCCTAACTCATTTTATGAGGCCAACATCATCTTGATACCAAAACCTGGCAGAGACACAACAAAAAAAAGAAAATTTCAGGTCAATATCCCTGATGAACATCAAAGTGAAAATCCTCAATAAAATACTGGCAAACCGAATCCAGCAGGACATCAAAAAGCTTATCCACCATGATCATGTCAGCTTCATCCCTGGGATGCAAGGCTGCTTTAACATATACAAATCAATAAATGTAATCCATCACATAAACATAACCAATGACAAAAACTACATGATTATCTCAATAGATGCAGAAAAGGCCTTCGATAAAATCCAACACTGCTTCATGCTAAAGACTCTCAATAAACTAGGTATTGAAGGAACGTATCTCAAAATACTAAGAGCTATTTATGACAAACCCACAGCCAATATCATACTGAATGGGCAAAAGCTGGAAGCATTCCCTTTGAAAACTGGCACAAGACAAGGATGCCCTCTCTCACCACTCCCATTCAACATAG